TAACGCTTTGTTTTTGTGTGCAAGCCAACTGCTCACCTTACACCCCCCACACCCCCCACCCCCCACCCCCCACAAACCACAGCCCCTTGCGCCGTTTGTGAATTTGTTGCAATTTCTCATTGTCAGCGAACGCGTTCGCCGGTAAATTTTGATTAAACGCTCTACGGGAATTCACTTTGCCTGTTTCACCTCTCGTTTTTTCGCTCTATCTTTGTTGGTTTTTTGAGTTTTTTGTTTTTGCTTTCTTGTGGCTGTGGCTGTGGCAATAGCAGCACCTCTGTCCACATCTGCGTCCTTGCCCTTTCCCACTTGCAGCAATTGATAAATGATGCTCTTCGCTTGGCGATATGTTATGCAATTGTGGTATTTGTGTTTCGGCTGCGATACCAATGCGAAATACTTGAAGAATAGTTGGCTAAATCCTGCAACAAGATCGCCGTAATAAATGAATGAAGCATTTGGAAATCAATTAGAAGGTCTGCCAAGATGAAAGCGAATTTTATATCTTATACCCTGTCAGGGTGAGAGAGAGCGTGAGGGGGGATTTTAATCGGTCGTCAACAATACAACAGTTCTAGGATGAATTCAAGAAATGCTTTGGTCATTTGGCCGGCGAGTTCTTTTTGGGACTCGGCAAACTACAGTTCATGGCCAAAGCTTGAATGAAAAAATCAGCACACGAGATAATGACGGCGATCAGATGACTGATAGTATTTGTGATGAGTCGTTTTACGATTCTTCTTAGAGTTGGTGCAGTACGGACATGCCTAGATGGACTCGACTGTTGATCTAGAAGACATATAGATAAATATGGCATCGGAAACGCTTCTTTTTGCCTGTTACATGCACTTTCACAAAACCGGTATGCCCTTTTTACCCGTTTTTAATATGTTAAGGTTATGATATAATACCCTCTAAATGAGAAACACAACGAAAGTCTGATGAAAGTGCTCGTACACAGTAAACTATATGTATTGGTCAATGGAAGCCGCAGAGAGGGCGGAATGGGGGCAGCGACAGCAGAAGCCGGCGCAGCAGAATTGAGAGCGCCTCAATAACAAGCCGTAATAATAATTTTGCTCCAATTAATCAGCGTTAAATCAGCGAAGCGACGTCAACCGAAGCGATTCGTTCGATTTGATGTTAACCAATTGCCGCCTTTTGTTTTGCCGGTCTCTTTGTTATTATATATTCCAGTTGTTATTGCTGCTGTTGTTGTTGATGCTGTTGTGTCCGTTGTTGAAACGGATCAATGGCTGGGAAAGTAGCAGATGCCCAAGTTCGACGTCTGGTTCCATTAAACTTAAATGATATTAAAGCAAGCAGCCAGATGCCAAAGTGAATTCCAGAGTATTTTAAACTTATAATTTGTGAATACTGAGAGCATTTCTTATATTATTAATCATCGGTAGTAAATATACATATATATATATATATATATGTATAATATTGTATCGATTAAAACTGCGGAAAACTTTGATACTAATGAAATACCAGCTGATAACACTCTTGCAGGTGTGGGTGTAGTCAGGAAAGTTATTATATTTAATTAGGCATTTAATGTGCACTAAAAACATTCAAATTTGTATTTTAAAGGATTTAATACATAAGAAGTTGATTTCAAGAGAATCAATCATTTGTATTGGTATTGAAATTCAAAATGGTAAAATACTTTTTGATTAAGAATATACATATATACTTCATGGTATGGGGAAATGCTTTATTCTGCCAGCTACACAAGTTGTTCTTACCCTTTTTGCAATGGGTTCAGCAAATAAAAATGAGTGTAAAACTGATAAAGTCAGAAGAAACCCAAATATTTATATTGAGATGTAAGCAATTGTACTACCTGCTTCCATGACTATACATACATACATAAAGATATGTACATAAATATATACACGTATATATATATATTCCGTACATCGGCGAATCAACAACTTGACATTTGATGGGCCTCAAGTGTATGTTGCTTTTTGATTTTTTTGTTGTTTATTTTGTTGTTAAATATTCAACCCTTTGACTTGTGCCTTCTTGTTGTCTTTACCTTTTTGCGCTTTGTAAAAACATACTTAAAATTGCTCGTTGCTGAACTTGTGTCTGCCGTTGCCCGATTGTTTTCGACGGATTTTCAACTTAATTGCATCGTTGTGGGTCTGTCTTGAATCCATCGAATGTTTGACAGCAGGCAGCGCACCGAGCCGTAGGTGGTCCCCATAACGAGAGCTAATGAAATCTGAGTCAGGAACTGTCAAAATTGACGACGGCAAAAAAAAATCGCTTAAGTACATGCAAATAAAGTGTGCGGTGATAATTGCTTAACTTATCAACGACTGAGTTTGAAGTGTTTTTCTTGAGAATGCCAAAAATAAATCGGCGTAGAAGTCGTAATATTAATATTGGCATACAGCAGTGCAGTTAAAAGTGTTTGCAGTGCTCTCAATCTGCTCAGATCTGCAATAGATCTAAAAATAATTGATTGATATCAGCAATTAAGTTTATTTCATCTGTGCTGGATTTGCTAATTAATACATCGTCAAGAGCGTGTTGCATTTAATTAACGACACCAAATTTCAATTCTACGAATGTGACTCAAGAAACAGGCTTTTGTGTGTATTTTTAGATCTGCAGCTGCAGATGAGCGCTCTTAAGTTCCATTGAGGATCACTCAGAAACGAGTTGGCCAACAACAAACTGGGCTAACATTTCAGATGCCTCGGCATGCCAGTATCACTTACACCATCATCATCATCATCAACATCATCATTCCAACTGCGGACAATGTCAATGTTCGCAGCTAGCTTTTAGTTTAACTAACACGTTTCTTAGCCTCATTTCACAAGCTGGCCAATGTGCTTGACGTTGTTGTTATTGGCTGTCAGCCAGCGTCGATTGCGGTTGACACTTTTTCGCGCCACACGCCTAATCCTCTCATGCATCGCAGACGAGGTCGAGTGGCACCCAGAAACCGTGATGACTTGACACTTTAAAAACAGCTAACCGAGACCCAAAAACGAAACCAGCGCTAATAAAATATACCCAAAAAACTCCAAAGATATCACTTACACAGAGCTCTTAACTACTCTCAAGTGTCAAGTTCATTAACATATGCATACATCCAATTGATAGAAAACATACTTATACACACCTCATTAGCTTGACAGATTAGCCAATGAACCAACTCAAGATGTCCAAAAACCATTTAGAATACTGAGAAAAACACTGAGGTGAGAATACGTTTAACAGTTTGTAGATTTGTCTAAAAAATATCGTTTATTTATACATATTCATTGAAACCTGAGACTCAGATTTCGGGCTGGGCGCAGGATAACAAGTCGAAGTAGCTGGCGATGCTTCTGGGCAATAATAATATAGACCAAGTTGAGATCCGTATCGTATTACAGCGTCTGTCCGAATACATATATTTTGTATATAGATTTTTTAAGATTTAATTACTTGAAAAGTTATGTTTGTTTATACCCCCTGTAGAGGGTATTCTAATTTTGTTGTGAAGTTTGTTACACATTAAAGCAGACGTTTTCGACGCCATAATGTGTATATATTCCTGATCAGCGCTAATAGCCCAGTCGATATAGCCATTTATCCGACTGTCTCTCTACTTTGAGAAACTTGGCATATATCCGTCAGGCTATATGCTCAGTCTCATTTATCGCATAATTCTACTTTTCTTTATGAGCGTTTTAAATATTCAACTAGATGGTAAAATAAATGAATTGTTAATGCCCAGCTGACTGATAATGATTATCTATGTTTCGTGGCTTAAATGCTGAGCCAGGAATAGATGAGCTTTCGCTGGTGGCTCCTTCTGGTCATGGACTTTTGGGCCCAGTTTTGAGACTCCAGATGACTATCGCTGAATCTGGCTGCAGGTAACAAATGCAGAGTAAGCACAAATGATTAATGCGACCAGGCAGCCTATAATTAATAATGATTAAAAGCTGGCGCCCCTTCATCAACAGCAAAACGTGCACAGTCGAGGAGATGGTCGAGGAGTAGGTGAAGGTGGCGCCTTAAGGAATACTCGATTCCTTCAAGGCACTAATCGCTCCAACGAAATGAAAAGTGAGCATAGTCCGAGTAGATCAGAAATCCACTGGAGCCGACGACCCGCTGTGAGGATTAACATGAATTTATATATATATATATATATATATATATATATGGGAGTGTGAGTGTGTATGAGGCATTTGAATATTTTTCTTATTGGCCGCGAGAAGTTCACGATTCATGGCCCGACTGTGCGTGACCAGGTTTCATTTTCATTAGCCTTTGTTACTAACAACTGGCTAGGACTGACTTGGCTTGCTGTGTGGTCCCATCTGTGTGGCATTATGTTGTCAGCCACATCTCTGATCTCTCATCCAGTCTTCTCTGCAGCAAAAGTTGCTAATTGATTTCTGAAAGATGCTATTTATTATTGTTTATTCTTTTTGTTTCGTTTTTGCTGTGTCATAATAGCAATTATTTTAATAACATACATAAGGCTGCGTACTTTGTACATTTCAGCGATTATCATTTATTTTTCTGGACAGCATCATTGTCAGGCTTTTAATAGTGATGATATGCCTTCATGAGCCCCCACATGAGCCTGGACGTCGTATTCTTAGCGTCCTCACCACAATCTCTGCGTATCGTTTTTAAATACAACACCGGGTATATTCTTCAGATCCCTCAACATTGAATGATGTTGCTCCTAAGGCCTGATTGTATTTTGTTTCATTTTTATATACATCTCGATAGGCACTCCAATCGTTGGGTATCTCCATTGCCACACTCGAGATTCATTGATGGTTGAGAAAATGATCAAAGATTTTTTCACCTTGACACATTTTTTGGCACAATATCTAACACAGAAAACAAAAAATTAAAAGATTCAGATTTCAGCAGCCCTGGCTTATCGAAATACTGAACTGTGCTGACAGCAAATGTGAAATGTGCAAGCAGCTACTGACAGGAGTCAGGAATCTGGTCTCATTTTTTAGTTGTCTCGCTTTTAGTAGACGCTGTAGTTTCTGTGAGTTTTAACCAAAAAAAAAACGTTTGTGGAAATGAGCAGATACCGGGTGAATACAAAACCTGTAAGCGCACAAATGATTTTTGGAGTAGAATACAGCTAAAAGAAAATTGTTGTTTTTAATGCTTACAGTTGCCAGTTAGTGGCAAAGCGCCCTATCAGCCAGTGCCAGTGCCAGTGAGTGCGATTCGGGGTAAGTTATGGTGGATCGTCTCGCTAACCTCACAAAGTATATGCATGTATTTAATTAGGAAATTATCGTGGAGAATCTGAGTCACCGCCACGAGTAGCAGCTACGCGACAACGTGTAAGTTTTATACCAGATTTCATTTTTGGCAGTTTTATGTGAAAAGAAAAACGAAAATACAATAAGCACGAAGAGTGAAAATATCATTCGTTTTTGTATTTCACAACATACAAATGAGCTCCTCCAAAATCTTCTATAATTGCTTGCGAACCGACAGGCAACATAAATAGAGCCTGTCCAGATCCATATATGCATTTAATCCAAAACAAGGCATCGAATTTTGCAACCTCGAAATTTTAATCTATGAAAGCTTTAGTTTATAGTATTCCGATGTTCTTGATTTTTTTGTGAGACACACAATAACAGTCATAACTGTAGATTTTGGTACGGAAGCGTTTCCGATGCCGTAAAGTGTACGTGTATATTCCTATTAAGCATCAAAAACTTGCTCTCAATCTTGCTCTGCATGCTTAAAAGTATCACACGTTCGAACTACAACTGAAAATGTTCACTATTTGTATATATCCTATCCAATGGTTGTATCAAAAATATTACACTTTTTTTAATATTTGTTTTTTGGTATGCTTTTAGGGTCGTCCCCGTAATCGAACTTTGGAGGGCAGTTCGTTGAGAATGAACAGCACGAATCGGGTACAGGATCTTATCAAGCTGCTGGTGCGTATGTATAAGACACATGGCAGGTTGGTGCCAACGGAGAACAATGGCTTTAATCGAAATCTGAAGCCAGATGTGATTGTTGACTCCTTCGCAACGGATGACGGAGAACCAATGTTCTTCCTGCGATTCAAGTGTCGCAAGATACCCGAACTGATTACGTTGACCGAAATGAAGCGACGTGCTCCAACTATACTAATTGAATTCTATAGTTCCAGATTGACAAATGCTTATGAGAAATGATTCATTAATGAATTAAATTGACTTTACAATATTATTGAGTATACTATTGAGTAGTTCATATCTGTGTATCTGGAGCATTGCACATCAAAATGTTGTGGCAGCCACAGGTGTGTGGCATGTGCGAGTATTTGTGTTAAGCATAAAGATTTGCACAGTTAACGTGGCATTAAGGCAACAGTCACGCCCTTGCTCGCATATAAATCCAAATTCGTTGCCCCGCAACTGCAAAATGCAATTCCTACAATTCGACTACAGTTGCCTGATAAATTTTCATGTTGTCACACCTGCACACAACTCGCATGCACATAAATATAAATGACTGTGGATCCGCCAAAAGGTGGCATTGCAACAATTTCGGTGCCCCAAATAAGATATCAAGTGGGGAGGCGAACTCACTCACTCGACGCAGTTCTCGGTTCGCACCCAAGTTTACCAACCAACAAAATAAAGAAAAAAAAGGTGTAGAAAGAAGAATATATTGAAAGTGAAATATTATTAAAATGCCGCATTGTTGTTGGATGTCTCCGCAGTGGCAGTTATTGTTCCCTGCCTGCTTCTTGGAAGTTGCAATTGCGGTCTCTCTCTCTCTCTCTCTCTCTCTCCCACTCTTCCTCTTTCCGTTGCACCTTTATTTATGGGCGAATATTTGATTTTGGGAATTTCGTGTCGCGTGTCTCTGTTATCGCTAAGGCATTGGCATTTTGACTGCGCCTCCACTTGAAGCCAGCATGCATAAATATTTGCTTATTTATGCACCAATGTCAACACTCGGCTGCACAACGTACACAAACTGTGACTGCTTATCCCTTTCTCGGCAAGGGAGCAGAGGGGTGGCAGGAATGCCAATACCGAAAGATGCAGCAACAGGTTGCAAAATAAGCCCAATGTTTAAAGTTGCAGGAAAGAATGCAGTGACTGACTTCCGATAAGGACACAGATGTATTAAATAGATTTTGTATTTAGGAAAGTTGCATATATTATAAAAATTACTCATACGTAGCGTTGTTTAATATCTTACCTATATTATTAGCACATTTAAATCATTTAATGTCAAAACAAATAAAAATAAAAATAAAGGCTGTTCGTTTCATTCTACTTCAATAATTTGTACTCCATTATTTATACAGGCCTGCCGAATCATTTTAATCCGCTTTGGCCTTATCCGCTTGTCTGTCCGCTTGTATATGGAGTATTGTCATGACAGTGTTCCCAGCATATGTTTAATAAATATTGCAATATATATGTACAAATTGGTGCAAGGCTATTTATTCGAGAATAACTGGATTAAATATAAGAATATATTATTCAAATAAGATTTTTAGAACTCTGTTCATTTTTGACATATTTCGTACTTGAATCAAGAATATATTATTCATTAAAATATGCTTTTTCTCTGAGCAGATTAGGAATAACCCAAAGATTGTATGTATTCACCTACTATTTAAATCATATCTAGGCCTTATCATCATCTGGACACTATTTAATGAGTCAGAGTTACCTTTAAAATGTTCCCAAATTATGCCTTTGCCGAAGGTAGTCTCATTATATGTTCCCATCAGATTGCTGTCAAATATAAGAGTAAATTAGAATTATATTGCTCATTTATAAAATCGATAGGTAAATAGTACCTGTGGTGGCAACGATAGTACCACCAGGCTCCCGTAAACATTTCAGCACAACTGCCATTATCATCTGTATCGTTGTCTCGATCCCGTGTTGAGAACTTTTGACCCACATGAACTCGCAACGAATCGCCCGCATCTCCGGAGTATTTGCCCAATCTGGTCAGCTTGTACGCTTCCCATTCGGCTCCGATTGCAAATCGATCGTACATTGCAAACCTACGTATTCCTTTCCAATCCATAATTATGAGTAGTTCTTGATCAGCAGCTTTGGTCATGAAATGCAGCTTCTGCAGCCCTATAAAAAACTCGCCAGTCAAAGTTCCGAATCCTTTTTTGTAGTCCTCCCAGAAGAGAAAGAAATCCACACTTCCATCTTGACGCCTCAACACCGTTGTCCAGCCCCCACCCTGTGTCTCCTCATCGCAACTAACGTCAATCGCTTGCAGACTGAAACCGGGAACGACGATCTTACGAATACCACTACGACGATCCACAGCCTGCACATCGCCACAGCTGCTGGGAAACTGAATTGGCTGCAGGCTTATCGACTTATCGAATTTCTCACTCAACTCATTGAGTTTACCCATCATCTTATTCAGCAATTGGCTCTGCATTCTCTTTTCTGATATGTTAATGTCGATTTTGCTTTCCAAACTTGTAATATTATTCAATTTCTCATTAAAATCATTATTTTTCACCATCACATCATTCTGAGAATCATTCTGACGAATCTGTTTCGTTGCCAACTCTTCAAATTCACCCTTAACCTCATTCAGCAAATCGATCTGACGATTCTGCTCTGACCTGCTCAAGTCAATTTTGCTCTCCAAGTCTGTCACTTTACTGAATTTCTCATTCAACTGATTAAGTTTATTTATCACATCATTCTGCAATTCGCTCTGACGAATCTGTTTCGTTGCCGACTCTTTAAATTCACCCTTAAGCTCATTCAGCAAATCGATCTGACGATTCTGCTCTGACCTGCTCAAGTCAATTTTGCTCTCCAAGTCTGTCACTTTACTGAATTTCTCATTCAACTGATTAAGTTTATTTATCACATCATTCTGCAATTCGCTCTGACGAATCTGTTTCGTTGCCGACTCTTTAAATTCACCCTTAAGCTCATTCAGCAAATCGATCTGACGATTCTGCTCTGACCTGCTCAAGTCAATTTTGCTCTCCAAGTCTGTCACTTTACTGAATTTCTCATTCAACTGATTAAGTTTATTTATCACATCATTCTGCAATTCGCTCTGACGAATCTGTTTCGTTGCCGACTCTTTAAATTCACTCTTAAGCTCATTCAGCAAATCGATCTGACGATTCTGCAATTCGCTCTGACGATTCAGTTCTAGCCTGCAAATGTGGTGATAAGAATCTTTCAAATTTTTTTGAAATACATGTCGGGTTTCCAATACAAACCTAATCTCTTCGAGCTGCAATTGCTCAACTTTTCTGCAGATATCCTTGATCTGAAAACGTATTTCTGTTTTGTTGTCAAATTTAAGAGATATATACGACAGTTTCTCATCTTTTCGAACACATTCCCCTCCACTTGTTTGTACAGATATGCATAATAGGAACACAGTGCAAATAAATTGAAACAGCATTTTGGCTTGAATATTTTAGTACTTTAAATGAGCACAGATCGCACAAGACTGAAGAAACAGAGCTTATATCTCTTTGTTTTTGATTGCTTCTCTTGGCAACGACTTATTTAATTTATATTTAATCAAAAATGTGTTTATATATTATTATATATTCTCTAATGATAATGACGCGCACACTTTTGTCGATTCATCTTATCTATTCCAACGAATTCCCAATGTGCCTTCCAAAGTGGAACGATGCATAATAGTTGTTCACCTTCAACCCTGTGTACCCTGAGATGATGATTATGATGATGTAGACGCTACTACGAAGACTTTATCGGTTCTTAAAGGAATAAGTAAAACAGCTCCCTAATGCATAATTTTATTTAAATATCCAACAGATGTTTTAAATATATAGGTATTGTACTTAGGAAAGTTGCATATATTATGAAAATTACTCATACGTAGCGTTGTTTAATATCTTACTTATTTAAATATCACGTTGATGTCAAAGAGAATAAAAATAAAGGCTGTTCGTTTCATTCTACTTCAATAATTTGTACTCCATTATTTATACAGGCCTGCCGAATCATTTTAATCCGCTTTGGCCTTATCCGCTTGTCTGTCCGCTTGTATATGGAGTATTGTCATGACAGTGTTCCCAGCATATGTTTAATAAATATTGCAATATATATGTACAAATTGGTGCAAGGCTATTTATTCGAGAATAACTGGATTAAACATTAGAATATATTATTCAATTAAGATTTTTAGAGCTCTGTTCATTTTTGATATTTTGCGTACTTGAATCAAGAATATATTATTCATTAAAATATGCTTTTTCTCTGAGCAGATTAGGAATAACCCAAAGATTGTATGTATTCACCTACTATTTAAATCATATCTAGGCCTTATCATCATCTGGACACTATTTAATGAGCAAGATTTACCTGCAAAATTTCTCCAATGAACGCCTCTGTCAGGTCTGTTGTCATTATATGTTCCCATCAGATTGCTGTCAAATATAAGAGTAAATTAGAATTATATTGCTCATTTATAAAATCGATAGGTAAATAGTACCTGTGGTGGCATGCATTGTACCACCAGGCTCCCGTATACCATTGAGCACAACTGCCATTATCATCTGTATCGTTGTCTCGATCCCGTGTTGAGAACTTTTGACCCACATGAACTCGCAACGAATCGCCCGCATCTCCGGAGTATTTGCCCAATGTGGTCAGCTTGTACGCTTCCTCTTCGCCTCCGATTACAAATCGATCGTACATTGCAAACCTACGTTGTCCTATGGAGTCCTCCATAGTTATGAGCAGTTCTTGATCAGCAGCTTTGGTCATGAAATGCAGCTTCTGCAGCCCTATAAAAAACTCGCCAGTCAAAGTTCCGAATCCTTTTTTGTAGTCCTCCCAGAAGAGAAAGAAATCCACACTTCCATCTTGACGCCTCAACACCGTTGTCCAGCCCCCACCCTGTGTCTTCTCATCGCAACTAACGATAAATGGATACTGACTATAGCTGGGCACGACGATCTGATAAACGTTACTACGACGACTTCCAGCTGCAGCCTCTGCACAGCTTTTGGGATACTGAATTGGCTGCAGGCTTATCGACTTATCGAATTTCTCACTCAACTCATTGAGTTTACCCATCATCTTATTCAGCAATTGGCTCTGCATTCTCCTTTCTGATATGTTAATGTCGATTTTGCTTTCCAAACTTGTAATATTATTCAATTTCTCATTAAAATCATTATTTTTCACCATCACATCATTCAGAGAATCATTCTGACGAATCTGTTTCGTT